TATATGTATTTTTAGAATCTAAATTTTTCTTATCTATGTGCAATGTGTATATACAGAAATTTCATTTATTTCCTATTTTGTTTTGCATGTGAAATTCAAACCTAGATTCTAGAATATATCTCGCAGATATCCTCTAACATCCTACACGAATATCCTTCCTCGTGCTATGAATATGTCCCGTGCACTTTCTGAGAAATATCCGTATAAAGATATATATTATATATCTTCAGAATCTCCTAAGGACACGTTAATTCTCTCATTAACTATACCACAGGACGTCCCGGGATTAAAACAGGACATCCTATGGCTATCCCAAAAATGTCCTTATAATGTTCTAAAGTATGTCCTGTGGACTTCTTAAAGAAATTTTGGAGGACGTCTTCGGGACCTCATGAGGATATAACGAGGCGCGCATTAGGTGTTTCACAGAATGTTCTCAGGATGTCCCGGGACTAAAACGGGACGTCCCCACAACGTCCTTACGTCCCGTCCTGGATATTCTGAGGACGTCTTGAGGACTTCCTTGTGCTATTTGGGATATTTCTGAACAGCAGCGCACTTATGTACATACGTGACCACCGCGCGAAGAGCAATATCATTATTGACTGTATGCACCAAAAAGATAATCATTTAAAATTATTGTATACTTTACATTTATTTCATTTATATTTTATTTATATCATCGACTATGACAGGTGTACAAAGTGTTAAAGTTACTTATTTTGATGTTGGTAGTCAAGTTTTAGACAAATAGAGCCTTTTATTTGACTTTTACGATATTAGTTAAATTTGTATATGTTTCAAAGAGTTGCATTTGTTTTACAGATAGGGACAAATTTTACACGAAGTGGATGAGCAAGGCGAAGAACTAGATCAACCTGCATACGAATATTTTTTAAATAATCAATAGGCTCCAAGTAGAAATTGTGTACCAGGGGAGCTATCATTGCCTTCATTTCCAGCATAGCAAATCGTTGACCTATAATTTGATACGCATCGTAATCTCTTTATACATAAAACAGAATGTATAATAGTACATCAGAATATAAATGAACACAGCTTACCAATGCAGTTACGTGGCCCAGCACTAAATGGTACATACGAATAAGGATGACGATTTCGAATATTCTCAGGCAAGAATCTATCGGGATCAAATACTTCTGGATCTGGCCAAAAATTGGGATCTCTGTGAGCTGCATAAATATTCAGATACAGGAATGTGCCAGCAGGTACTGTATATGATTCTAAAACGCAAATTATACAATAAGATTTACAAATAATACAAGTGATTGAAAGCAGTATTGAATTTTTAAACTTTTTAAATTAGAATAAATGTCTACAGTTTGTATGATAAAAAATGTAATATAATTAGAACGTAAATAAGAGAGGGGGTAAAGATGGCGAGGAGGAAAGACATACAGTGAGAA